GGAAGGTTCTGATACATGGGATCAACTTTGTCATCCTCCTTTGTACATTTTCCAGAAGAATTTATATCCATCTGTAATACGGTGACCAAAACTGTGCAGCATAATCTAAATGAGGCCTAACCAAGGATGTATAGAGTTGAAGAACAACCCGAGGACTCTATTATTTATGCTTCTTGATATGAAGCAAGGATTCTATTAGCTTTATTGCGAACACTTATGCACTGTTGTCTTTGGTTTCAGATTACTGCTAAAACCAGAACTCCTAAATCTTTTTCGCAATCCGAAATATTAAGATCTACATTATTTAGTTTATATGTGGCATGGTTATTGTCCTGTCCAACATTTAGAACTTTGCATTTGTCTATATTAAACTGCATCTGCCACTTCTCCGACCACTGCTCAGTCTATTCAAATCTTCCTGGAAGTGCTTAAGCCCTCGTCTGAATGAATTCGACGGCCTATTTTGGTGTCATGGGCAAACTTGCCGAGTCGCTCTTTATGCCCTCATCTATGTCGTTTATGTAGATTGTGAACAGCAGGGGGCCCAACACTGACCCTGTGGAACACCGCTCGTGACGCTTCCCCACTCTGATTTCTCCCCATTTATGCAAACTCTCTGCTGCCTATTTGTCAACCATGCCTCTATCCAGGAAAAAATTTCTCCCTCTATTCCATGTGCTTTAATTTTCCTCAATAGTCTCTGATGTGGGACCCTGTCAAAAGCCTTACTGAAGTCCATATACACAATATCATATTCATTACTCAGTGGTCAGTCATCACGTGAGGTCACAGACCCTGAGCTGCCTTGGGGATTAGTGTGGACGGTTACAAAGCATGGCTTGCTTCTGCAGTGTTTTAAAAATTGAGGTTGGGAGTTAAAAGGAGGAGGTCTTGCTTCTCCAGGAGGAGATTGGAGGCTGAAGGTCCACCTCAATGGGTTGGGAGAGAGTGTGGGTGGCTGGAGTTGTGGGGAATGAGGCTTCTAGCAGCGAGTGCAGTCTGTCTCTCGCTGTGAGGAGGTGTAGTTGGGGAGGCAGCAACGGCTACCCGCAGTGAGGTGCAGGGCCCCGCACTGCTACAAGTGGCGAGTAGTTCACAGTAAATGGAAGGCGCATCAGAGTAAGGAAAGTTAAGAGTGAAGATCTGAAGGTAGGAAATCGCTTCTCTGTTCTTCAGGATGAATGTACTTCAGTGGCCAGTGAAGGTAAGGGTACTACTGCCCCTGCTAATGGAGGTAAGCGCATTCTTGTGGTTGGTGACTCTCAGGTAAGATACATTGACCGTGCTTTTTGTAATAGAAATAAGAAGATGAGAGATAGAGTGTGCTTCCCTGGAGCTGGTGTTGGGGACATTGTCAACAGGCTGGATAATATCATGTCAGGTAATGGGAGCAAGCCCATTATCTGTCTCAGTGCTGGTGGAAATGATATTGGGAAGGGTAGGAGAGAAGAGCTGCTAGATAAGTACAGGTCAGCTATAGATTTCATTAAGTCTAAGGGAGGATCCCAATCATATGTAGCATCTTGCCTAGAAGGGGAGTAGGAAATGAATGGTTGTCTAGGGCAATTGGTGTAAATTGCTGGCTAGACAGATACTGCAAGGAACTTGCAATCCCATTCATTGACAACTGGAACAACTTTTATGGCAAACATGATATGTATGCAAGGGATGGGGTACATCTCTCTTGGGCTGGGGTGGTAGCACTTGCAGACTCGATTGAGAAGGCCATTGGTGAAATGCCTATGATTTTAAACTGATGGAAGATAGAGGTATGGGTGTGTGTGGGAAACAAGCAGGTTGCAACACTTGGGTTGGAAACAGTAAATGTATAAAAGGCATTCAGCATGAAGTCCATATACACAATATCATATTCATTACCATGATCTACCTCCTCAAATACCTTAGTGAAAAAAGTTAATAAATTCGTAAGGCAGGAACGCCCCTTTGTAAAACCATGCTGAGATTCGTTGATTAATTTATGCTTTTCAAGGTGGCTACGAACTGCCTCGGCAATTATTGATTCCATAAATTTTCCCACTATGGAGGTTAGGCTTATTGGTCTATAGTTCGAAGCTAAGGACCTGTCACCTGTTTTGAAAATAGGTATCACATTTGCCATTTTCCACTTATCTGGCACCATGCCAGTTTGTAGTGATATGTTGAAAAGATTAGCCAAAGGTGTGCTAAGTTCCTCTTTACATTCCTTTAGAACCCTTGCATACAGTTCATCAGGGCCTGGGGATTTGTTATTTTTTAATTTATCTTTTTTCCTAAGGCCCCTGTCACTTGTGACCCTAATAGTGAAATTTTTATTATCGCCCTGTTCTACAAAATTTTATCTTTTCAATTTAATCCGCTGGTACCCTCCTGTGAAAAAAACTGGGGAAGTATGTTTTAAAAAAATTTACACATTTCCTTATAACTCCCCAGTGATGACCCGGGGAAAATTTTTTTGGGGGGCCCTAGCTTGTCCCTGATCTTACTTCTGTCTCCCTGAAAGAACCCTTTTTGGGGGTTGGTCTTGGGTTTTCTCTTGAAACCCTTTAAACCCTTTAATCTCTTTTGCTTTTCAATTTTCCCTTTTTTTTTTCTCTCTTTTAACTGAATAAAACGATTTCTCAATTGCCCCTCTCCTTTTTGATTTGCCTATATATGCCCTCTTTTGACCAATCATATTTTTTAATCTATTTTTTCTTTTCCATTTAGGATCATTTTTGTTTGATCTGTTTTCCCCTTTTTGGGAAAACATAATTTGACTGAGCAAAACTAGAATTATGCCCCGGAAACATTTTTCGGCAACCAAACACCCCCCTCCTGACCCCTTAAATAGGTCATTCCAGTTCAGCCCACCCAAGTAATTTTTCCCGTCCTATGAAACAGCCAAGCGAAAGTCGGGACGGAGCTTGATTGCCATTATTAGGGGAATTCCCTGATATATTTAAAAAATTTATGATTTGTGATCACTTTCCCCCAACTCCTCATTAACCCCAAGTTTTTTTAATTATGTTTCCCTACTGGCAAAAAACCCAAACAAGGAGGTTATTTCCCCTAGTTGGCTCTGTCACAAACTGTTTTAAAAAACAATCCTGGATCGTATCAAGAAAGTCACCTGACTCTAAACTTCCTGTCAAATTGCTCCAGTCAATCTGTCTATAGTTGAAATTCCCATTAGCACAACATTTTCGTATGTAGATGCCTTACGAATTTCGTCCCATAGAAGTTTACTGCACTCCTTATCAAGATTTGGGGCCCTGTAAATCACACCCAAAATTAGTTTTTCTCGGCCCTCGAGAAGCTGTAACCAAACAGATTCAGTGGCTGACGCTTCTAATTTAATATCTTGTCTAACACAACAATTTAAATTGTCTCTGACATACATCCCTACTCCACCACCTTTTCTGTTGACCCTGTCAGTGTGGAATAATTTATAGCCTTGTATGTGACATTCAGAGGGCATCACTCTATCTTTCAGATTGAGCCAGGTCTCTGTTATAACAATAATATCTATGTTTCCTGCACTTGCAATTAATCTTAGCTCATCTATCTTATTTCTTACACTCCTGCTATTAGTATAGTAAACCTTAAGGGAGCTAGTCCCTTGCTGCCCTCTGCTGTCCCCCTTTGTTTGCTGACCTGATCTATTGTCTTTATTTATAACTTCATGCTGAATGCCTTTTATACGTTTACTGTTTCCAACCCAAGTGTTGCAACCTGCTTGTTTCCCACACACACCCATACCTCTATCTTCCATCAGTTTAAAATCATAGGCATTTCACCAATGGCCTTCTCAATCGAGTCTGCAAGTGCTACCACCCCAGCCCCAGAGAGATGTACCCCATCCCTTGCATACATATCATGTTTGCCATAAAAGTTGTTCCAGTTGTCAATGAATGGGATTGCAAGTTCCTTGCAGTATCTGTTGCTGAGCATTCAGTAGAATGGAGTATTCATCATCGTATTTTATCATTGCTTAGTTAATCTTAAGTTAATTTTAAGCCAGCCCGTAATGCTATGCATATAAGTGGCTTTGGCATGCTACTCTTACCTGTATTTTTTTTGTACCTCTGTATGTATGCTCAAATTACTAAATAAATAAATAAATAAATTCTGTTAGGTAATGTAATTAAAAATAACAAAGTTTGATTGGGTCACAGGTTAAACATTTATGAGATACAATTATTCAGTATTTATTTAGTTGTGGGTAAGTGATTTTTAAGAAGACTTGAATTTATAAACAGACATTGTTTCTTTTATATTCACAGGTAATTAAAACCAGTTTGTTTATAGAGGAGTCAGAACAGTATTTAACTTTATTAGCAAAGTGGCTGTCACAAATTAAACATTCTGAGGACACATTATACTCTGATTAGTCATGACATTCATATTTATACCATTATATGAAATGTTATGTTACGCCAGATGACTAAACTTGCTGACGTAATATGCACCATGTTGCGACACTTTTCAGTGAGCGGGCAAATAAACATCTAAAAGTGGTTTTTCAACATATATATGAGAGCTTGTGAAGTATATGTTAGGTACGGTGTGATGGAGAAGAGGTTGCTGGATGGAGGTGCTGAGGCAGTTACAGGGAGAGCAGCCATGCGCACACATTATGTCCAGAGAAATTCGCCGAACACTGCATTACACACTGCAAGGTGAGTCATTTAATAACCTTTTGCAGTGCCTTTTTGGCGTATCCCACACCTATTATATAGAGTTGATGAAAATAGAATATCAATTTCTTCTCTCCTGCATTTTCGTTTCTAGTAAATATGCGCGTGTGGAGGTATAAAATTAATTTATATATGCCCTACTAAATTTAAATGTGGCGCCTCTAGAGAAGAAAGCGAACACAGTAAGGCTTTGTGTTTTCATTGCGACTAAGGCATCAAGATCCTCTTAATGAAGGATCAGAATGTGTTAATGGCGCCACCGCCGCCACCAGCTGACGCTCAGGGAGTCTGATCCTCCTACACAAGGGCTGCCTCGCCGTTCGTCGCCATTTTCCTTATACTTTCGGAGAGAGAGAACCAGCACTTGTACCAACCAAATACAGCCATGTCTCATTGATTTCGCGCATTTCTCGGAGACACGATCCACCACAGAGCCCGCGCTGGCACACTCCGCGCGGGTAATACACAATAACGGCCAGATAAAGAGAGAAAAGTGGTGGGGAACAAAGTAAACAGTGAATATTTTGGTTGGGTTTGCTGGCCTGCGGAGAAACGATCAGTTCATCTTGGACGTGAAAGGAGTTGGTCTTCCCAATGAGAAACTACGGAGTTATTTAGCCTTCTAGCCTTGCAATTGGAAAAAAAAATTCCTTATCCTTAAGACACCATGTCGTCTGCGATTATAGGCTGCAGAGAGTTTGTGGTGGGTGGAAAGTACCGTCTGGTGCGGAAAATAGGGAGTGGAAGCTTCGGTGATATTTACCTGGGGATCAACATCACTAATGGAGAGGTATGTGTTTTCTGTAATGTTGGGGGTGGGGGGTGTTTGTGACCACCGCCCGTGCTGCAGGTGGGTGTAGTGGGTGGCGGTGGGCGTAGTGGGCGGACATATGGGGAACTTAGAAACGGAAGATGGAGGAAGAAATGGCCGTGTGTGGGGCGCGGACCTTGAAGCTTGTTTCATCACAAGGACCCTTTTTTCCCCTCACTCCTCCCAGGGCCCACAAGACTGCTTTTTCTGCCGGCCCTGAGACTGAGGCGACTCCTGTGCCCCCCCACAATGCCCATTGTCACCCGACATCTCCACTTTCCACTGCAGGAGACTTAATGGCATCCAAATGGACTCTATTCTTGCTTCATATTTTTCACTTTCTGCACAGTTGTACTAATTTTTATCTGTTTTGCATTATTTGTAAATATTAGTTGGAAGCAGTTAATCTTTCTAGCATTTATTGTTTTCCATTTTTTTTAAATGTATGCCTACAGTATTTCTATAGAACCATTATACAAATTTATGCTGCTGACTGAAGAATCATTTGTAAATTTTCTGAATAAACCTTATCTTAAATATATGCAGGTAGCGGTTTAGCTAAAATAAAACCTTTAGTACCAAATAAAACTCAACTTCGTGCACAGAAACATTGAAGCTTCATTCACACAATATTAAGTACACTTTATTTAGGTTATGTTCTTCAAGGTATTTACATAACCATTATGAATGTATAAATTATGTATTATGAATAAGTAGAAATGGCACTGATTTGGTGACAATTTTAGATGTAGTTGTCAAGTAATGTCATTGAATATAAAGCACTGCAGCAGGCCTACTGGTCCATGCTAGGCAGGTACAAGTCTCACCGCAAGAAAGGAAGGATGGATCACTGCTGCATGCCTACTAGTTCAAGCTAGTAAGGTTCAACTCTCACCCACTCATTTATTCATCTAACCTATTTTTAAAACCACTATTTTAGTTTGTGATGTTACTCAAGAGTTTGTTCCACTCATCGTCAACTCTTATTACCCAACCAGTGCTTTCCTATATCCTTTCCAACTTTAACCCATTGTTGCTAGTCCTGTCTTGGTTAGATATTTTTAGAACTTTATTTAATCCCCTTTATTCCTTTTTCCATTTGTACACCTTAATCATATCATCCCTAATTCTGTCTTTTTAGAGTGCAGATTCAATGCCCTCGGTCTGTTCACACAAGAAAGGTTTCTGATAAGTACATGGAATCAACTTGGTCATCTTTCTTTGTACATTTTTAGCATATTTATTTCCATTTTGTAATGTGGTGACCAAAACTGAGTCATAATGTAAAAGTTTATATATATTGAGTTGAAGAATAACCGAGGACTCCTGATTGAAGCTGTTGAATATACAGTATCTTGTTTGATGGCTTGGTGTCAGGTGAACACTTCAAAATTCACCATTGACAAGCTCTCCAGCATAGGTTTGGTTACTTATCAAATTACTATATAACAACCACCAGTTTCAACATAATTGGAGTTGGTTAGTGCTTACCAATATTGTTAATGAATTTTTATGAGACAGCTTTATAAATAGGAAAATACTGGAGACTTCTGACCAATCATTGACTTGGGAACATTGGTGACATCTCTTGCATTCGTGACATGACATGCTGTCAAATATGGTAAACAAAGACATTGTGCATAGCAAACCACTAGATGTTTTTCTCCTAAGTAAAACTTTATCAAGTCAGTCATTGATTTAATAAATCATTTCATAGAATGAACTGTACTACAGTATAAGGGTTTGTTAAAACTGTATAGATCTTGCATATCAGTATCATAGGATAAAGAAATGGCTCCATGATACTGTATATTAATGTTCATAAACCTGAAACAGCATAGTGTTTAGTGTTTGTTATTGCTTTTTTTTCTGTGTAGACACATTTGTGAGCAAGTGCACATTTGTATTCATGCATCTGTTTGTGCACACTAGTTTGTGTACATTTGCATATTTTTGTGCATGTGTTCACGTGTTTGTGTGTGCAAGTTTGTCCATGAGTGTGCGTTACCAGTTGTCAAATGCACTTGTTGGTAGACACTGGTTCAGACATGTGTGTGTTTGTGTTTGTGTGTGTGTTTGTGTGTGTGTTTGTGTGTGTCTTTGTGTGTGTTGTGTGTGTGTGTTTGTGTGTGTTGTGTGTGTGTTTGTGTGTTTTGTGTGTGTTTGTGTGTGTTTGTGTGTGTTTGTGTGTGTGTTTGTGTGTTTGTGTTGTGTGTGTTTGTGTGTGTGTTTGTGTGTTTGTGTGTTTTGTGTGTGTTTGTGTGTGTGTTTGTGTGTGTTTGTGTTTTGTGTGTGTTTGTGTGTGTGTTTGTGTGTTTGTGTTGTTTGTTGTGTTTGTGTGTGTTTTGTGTGTGTGTTTGTGTGTTTGTGTGTGTTTGTGTGTGTGTGTGTGTGTGTTTGTGTGTGTGTTTGTGTTGTGTGTTTGTGTGTGTGTTGTTGTGTGTGTGTTTGTGTGTGTGTTTGTTGTGTGTGTTGTGTGTGTTTGTGTGTGTTGTGTTGTGTGTGTGTTTGTGTGTGTGTTTGTGTGTGTGTTTTGTGTGTGTTTTGTGTGTGTTTGTGTGTGTGTTTGTGGTGTGTGTTTGTGTGTGTGTTTGTGTGTGTGTTTGTTGTGTGTGTTTGTGTGTGGTGTTTGTGGTGTGTGTTTGTTGTGTGTGTATGTTTGTGTATGTTGTGTGTGTGTGTGTGTGTGTGTGTGTGTTGTGTATGTGTATGTGTTTGTGTATGTGTGTTTGTGTGTGTTTACCATTTTGTCCTAGGCACATGTCGATTAGACACTAGGCCTGTTGTGTGTGCATGTGTGTGTGTTTGTGTTGGCGTGGCTCTGTGTGTGTGTGTGTGTGTGTGTGTGTGTGCGCATGTGTGCATGTGTTGGTGTTGGTTACCATTTGGTCCTAGGCACATGTCGATTAGACACTAGGCCTGTAGTATATGCGTGTGCGCGTGTTTGTGTGTGTGTGCATGCGCATGTGTTACCATTTTGTCCTAGGCACATGTTGATTAGATACTAGGCTTGTTGTATATGCAGTGTGTGTGCACGCATGAGTGTGCAGTTGTACTTACCTAATTGTACTCGCCTAATTGTGGTTGCAGAGGTCGAGAGACTGCTCCTGGCCCCGCCTCTTCACTGACCGCTACTGGGTCTTCCTCCCTGCTCCATGAGCTTTATTATACCTCATCTGAAAACTGTGTGGTTCCTGCCTCCACTACATCACTTACCAGACTATTCCACTTCCTAACAGCTCTGTGATTGAAGAAATATTTCCTAGCATCCCTCTGGCTCATCTGAGTCATCAACTTCCAATTGTGACCCCTTGTTTCTGTCTCTCATTTCTGGAACATCCTGTCACTGTCCACCTTATCTACTCCACGCAGTATTTTGCATGTCGTTATCATGTCACCCCTGACCCTCCTGTTCTCTAGTGTCATCAGGCTGGTTTCCCTTAACCTTTCTTCATAGGACATTCTCCTTAGCTCTGGAACCAGCTTTGTTGCAAACCTATGCACTTTCTCTAATTTCATGATATGTTTGACCAGGTGTGGGTTCCAAACTGGTGCTGCGTACTCCAGTATGAGCCTGACGTACAGTGTATAGTCTTGAACGATTCCTTACTGAGATCTTGGAATGCTATTTTCAGGTTTGCCAGGTTCCCATATGCCGCAGCAGTTATTTGGTTAACCCTTTGACTGTTTTGGTCATATATACACACGTCTTACGAACCACCGTGTTTGACTTGTATATACAGTGGTCCCTCAATAATCGTCCATAATCCGTTCCTGGAAGTGGGACTGTTATTGAAATAGACAATTTTCAAATCAATTTTACCCCATAAGAAATAATGAAAAATGCAATTAATCCGTTCCCGACACCCAGAAGTATTAAAACAAAAAATTTTTTTACATGAAATATAGATGTAGTACATAAACAATACAGTGGCACATGATGAATGAAACATTAACAGAATAACACTTACCTTTATTGGCAATTCTTCTTTGTATATGGAAGACTTGAGGAGACAGATTGGATTATTTACTGTTTGGAAGGGGAATCCCCTTCCATCAACACCTCAGGTACCAGTTGCTTTTCTGGGGTTACTTCTCTTCTCTGTTTCTTAATGCCACAAGGACCACCTTGAAAGTCAATGGAGTCCTGTCTCGCAAAAAAAAACTGTCTAGAGAACTCTGTTTCTGGCGTCTCTTTAAAACTTCCCTAAAATGGGCCAAGACTGTCACTGTACAAGTTGCCGATATGGCTTGCAACATCCTTCTCAGGGTGATGTTTCTCCATAAATCTTTCCATCCTTCCCCACATTTCAAAAATCTCCTTAATTTCTAAAGAATGCACCTTCTACCATCTCTCTGCCTCCTCCTCTGCAGCAAGATTCTGAGCTGCAATCTGTTGCTCTTCCTGCTGAAGCTCTTGCAGCTCCTCAGTGGTTAGCTCTTGGTTGTGGTCCTCCACCAACTCTTCCACATCCTCCAAACTCACATCCAACCCTGTGGAACTCCCCAGTGCAACAATAGGTTCACAACTGACATAGGCTCATCAGGGGCTGCCGCAAACCCTTCAAAATCCCTCTTGTGGACATAGTCTGGCCACAATTTTCTCAAAGCAGAGTTCAAAGTCCTGGTAGTCACTCCCTCCCAAGCCTTACCTATAAGGCTTACGCAATGGAGAATACTGAAGTGTTCTTTCCAAAAATCTCTTAGGGTCAAGTGAGTGTCTAAGGTCACATTAAAGCACCTTTCAAACATTGCTTTGGTGTAGAGTTTTTTAAAGTTTAAAATGACTTGCTGGTCCATGGGCTGGAGGAGAGGAGTGGTATTCGGGGGCAAGAACCTTACTGTGATGAACCCAAACTCCTTCAGAATTAGGTCATCCAAGTTTAGAGGATGAGCAGGTGCATTGTCCATTACTAGGAGGCACTTGAGATCCAATTTCTTTTCCAGGAGGTAGTTCTTCACACTTGGGCCAAACACTTCATTGAACCACTCGACGAAAATGTCCCTTGTGACCCATGCCTTACTATTAGATCTCCAAAACACACACAATTTACTCTTCATAACATTGGGATTTTCAGAATGGTACACTAGTAACGGCTTCACTTTGAAATCCCCACTAGCATTAGCACAGAACATGAGCATCAGCCTGTCTTTCATAGGCTTGTGTCCTGGCAGTGCCTTTTCTTCCTGAGTAATGTAGGTTCTCTTTGGCATTTTCTTCCTAAAGAGGCCTGTTTCGTCACAATTGAACACTTGTTCAGGTTTCAGTCCTTCAGTCTCTATGTACTCCTTGAATTCCTGCGCATATTTTTCAGCCGCTTTGTTGTCAGAACTGGCAGCCTCGCCATGCCTTACCACACTGTGTATGCCAGTACGCTTCTTAAATTTCTCAAACCAACCTTTGCTGGCCTTAAATTCACTCACATCACCACTAGTTGCAGGCAATTTCTTTACCAAATCGTCATGCAACTGCCTAGCCTTTTCACAAATAAGTGACGTCATAAGACTATCTCCTGCTAATTGTTTCTCGTTTATCCACACCAATAATAACTTCTCAACATCGAGTACTGGTGATCTCATTTTTGTCAGCATATTTTCCCCCTTTGCAACAACAGCGTCCTTGATTTCCTTTTTCTTGGCTATGATGGATGATATGGTTGTACGGGATTTGTTATACATCCTGGCCAGTTCGCCCACACGTACGCCACTATCATATTGTTCAATGATGTTTTTCTTAAATTCAATCATATTTCTTACCTTCTTTACCAAAGGCTTGGCACTAGGAGCTTTCTTTGGAGCCATGGTAGCTTATTTAGCACTTGCTAGCCCTAAAATAAATGGAATATTATGAAATATTTCGTTGGAGCAAGTGAGGGGACCGTCGCTCACTGGTAAACAATGGCACACTGGCTGGGAAGGGAAGGGCCAGGCGGCTCAGAGTGAGTACGCGTCCCGGACGAAGGACTATTAGCGAGTTAACAGACCATTTGCGAGCCAATGTTTAGACGAAAATAACAGGACTATTTCCGAAATGGACGACTTTCAGGCCGGACGATTATTAAGGGACCACTGTACTCAAAAATTCTAGCGGCTTCAGATCAAACAGGAGAAAGCTGGTAGGCCCACATGTGAGAGAATGGGTCTGTGTGGTCAGTGTGCACCATATAAAAAAGATCCTGCAGCACACAGTGCATGATGAGGAAAAAAAAACTCCGACCGGTTTTTTTGGATTAAAGCGCCGACTTTGTGGTGTATTTTTGTATAGTATTTGTGGTTGTAATGACACCAAAAGAACAAAATTTGATGGAAAACTGATGGAATTATGCTCTCGTGAAGTTAGCGACCTCGGCAATATTTATGAATCGACAATTTCGCCCACTTTGTGCCCTAATTTCGGCTAATGCCATTGTTCCAGTTGACCAAATTCATAGCTTTCTTTAGAACTTCATTTTTTCTATCGATTGTGTACAACTGCCCATTTACTGATTTTAACTACCCAATAACATTGTCAGGGATTTGCAGTTTGGCCAGTTTCACGAAAATTAAAAAATATGACATTTTCAAAATAGGGTCCAGAATGAACGATGCAGATATTCCTGGCTCTAAAATAATATTTTCTTTGTTTATCAGTCATGTCTCCAGGCCCCTCTGATATTACTCTTGCTTTCTATTTTGAATTTTTATTCAAACAAAAAATAGAAGATTTACTGTTATGCAGACTACTGCAATATTGTAATAATTGCATAAATAATATCAAGCCATTCATGACTGCATATTAGAATGGCTACTTGGACATTTATTGGAAAATGACATTTGTTTACTTTTGAACATCGGCAAAAATCAAACATTTCCCCTACTTTGAGCTCTATTTCAAGGTTCTTTTCATACCAAAACCAATCAAAATCACATCTATTTCTATAATATGTTTTCCATTCTATCAAATGAGACCAAGAAAACGAGAATACAACCATAAATACTATATGAAAATAGACCACAAATTCGGCATTTTAATTAAAAAAAACGGTTGGAGTTTTTTTTTTTTTCATTATGCACTGCGTGCTGCAGGATTTTTTTATATAGTGAACACTGATCACACAGACCCATTCTCTCACATGTGGGCCTATCAGCTTTCTCCTGCTTGATTTGAAGCCGCTAGAATATAGTATATAGACGTCAAAAATGGTGGCTCTGTTCGTATATATACAACCAAAACAGTCAAAAGGTTAATGTACAATACTCCAGGATAAATAAATAAAAAAAGTTTTTTTCATTAATTGGCAACTGATGGTAAGGTTAAATTGAGGTATGCTACTCTTTGTGATGTAAATAGTTCTAAGATAATCTTGAAGACTAGTCTCACTCTTAATTGGTAGTTACTGTATTGTAAACAGTTCGTGTTATTTGTTCACCTTCACAATTTTTTTTGTTAGTAATAACTTGTCTTATGCAGGAGGTGGCTATTAAACTGGAAGCCATGAAGGCACGGCATCCTCAGCTCCTATATGAAAGCAAAGTCTACAAGATCCTCCAAGGTGGTGTTGGTATCCCACACATCAGGTCAGTCTTCTGTAACATTTGGGCTTCTCCTTGTAGGTATTGCTGCCTTGATGCTGGTGAAGGGCTCTTAATCCAGTGAATTGGAGGTAGTGTGTTCTCCCCTTCTTTGGATTAAGCTTGATTACCTCCCATTCTCCAGGATCCTTTTAGTGCTTCCTGTTAATGTAATAACAAGTGTAGGTGTCCATGATGCTTCTTATACTGCAGTTCTTGTGGTTGAAACAGTATTTTTGAAATGCCTAAGTAAATGTTTTGTTGGGGGTAGGGGTTATATTTGCCTATCCTCTTTAATTGTTGGAGTTATATTTTTATAAAATGAGGTTAAAATAATGTGTGAAAATGAATGAAGATCATTTAGCATATAGTGTGGGACAACACTGTTCTTAAGACAGATGAAAATGCCTACTTCCTTTAACCCTTTCAGGGTCGAGAGGCCCTCTCCTAAACTTGTTCTCAGGATCGAAAATTTTTCAGAAAAAAAAAATTATTTTTTCTTATGAAAAGATAGAGAATCTTTTCCCAATCATAATGACAGCAAAAGTATGAAATTTGATGGAAAGCCTATAGAATTATGCTCTCGCGAAGTTAGCGGTCTTGACGATGTTTACGCATCGGTGATTTCGCCCACTTTGAGCCCTATTTTCGGTCAATTCCAGTGTACTAGTCGACAAAAGTCATAACTGTTTTGCTAGAACTCCATTTTTTCTATTGAATGAGTACAAGAAACCACCCATTTACCGATTTCAACTATCCAATAAAGTGGTCAGAAATTAGCAATTTTGCCAATTTCACACAAATTTCAAAAGATGCCAATTTCCAAATAGGGTCCAGAATAAAAAAGAAAAACATTCCTGGCACTAAAATAACATTTCCTCTGTTCATTAGTCATGTCCCCAGGCTCCTTTTAAATTTCTTTTGCTTTCCACTTTGAATTTTAATTCTCACAAAAATTAGAAGATTTACTGTTATGCAGACTACTGCATTAGTGTAGAAATGGTATAAATTATATCAGCGCACTTGTGAAAGAATATTAGACTCATCAGTTGATGTGTATTGGACGTGTGGCATGATTTGTTTACTTTTGAACTTTGGCAAAAATTGAACATTTCTGCTACTTTGAGCTCAATTTCAAGGTACTTTTCATTGTGAAACCAATCAAAATCATCTCAATTTCTGTAATATGTCTTCCATTCTATAAAATGAGACCAGGAAAACTAGAATACAACCATAAATACCATACGAAAATACAGTGCAAAGTCGCTGTTTTAAACGAAAAACAGTTTTTATCCTTATGCGCTGTGTGCTGCAGAATTTTTTATTATACTATGCACACTGACCACATAGACCCATTCTTCATATGTAGGCCTACCAGCTTTCTCTCGCTAGATTTCAAGGTGCTAGAATTTAGGCGTACTAGTACGTCAATAACCATGGTGCATAAGGCGTACTAGTACGTCGGAAACCCTGAAAGGGTTAATGTATTTTAGAAAGTAAATAAGGCATTACATGGGCAGGAACGAGGGGCTGCCTAGTGGCAATTTTTGCGTCTTGCCATAGACTCCAACAAAAGTATACAGGTACTGAAAACCAGGAATAATAAGCCCCATTCTTGCCACACATTTTTTTTTAAGGATTCAGGGTAAAACAAAAATTCAGATACCATTCATGCCTGTCAGTGCAAACTCTAACTTTACACTTTTGAAAATATCAGCCAATCATGCGAGTATGAGATGCAGGCCTCCTGCTTGTATTTTGCTGTACACTGTATGTGATGCCATGCATAGTTGTTTGTTGACAGATGTGTGAAATTTATTTGCATGTACATTGTGAAGTTGAGGTTATAGTACAGGTTGACTATCACTAATCTGGCAATCAATAATCTGGTTCCATCAGTAATTCAGCACTAATTTCGGCAAGCATAATGTCAAACATCTGGGGTCGCCACACCAACCTGCCGCTATTGTTTGGTGGCGCTGCTTGCTGCATAAGTCATTCCAATTTCTTTTTCTCCATTTATTGTTATGACCTGCTCACTTTTAGCCTTACCCATGGTTCCAACGAATGAAAGAAATGCTTCATGTGTAAAGCACATGCACTGTTCATTGTCTATAAAAGATAAGGTGGCTTTGAAGCCACTGTTGGTCACCATGAGCTGAGCTCAGCTCAGATCCTTCAACACGCATTGCATAATGAGAAAAAATGTGTAAAGCAGCGACTGTGTGGTGTGGTTTGTATGTTTGTATTCTCGTTTTTTGATCTCATTTGGTAGATTAGAAGATATATTACAGAAATATATATAATTTTGATTGGTTTCACGCAAGAATACTTTAAAATTGAGCTCAAAGTAGCAGAAATGTTCGATTTTTGCCGATGTTAAAGTAAACAAACAAAAAAAAAAATCACTGTCCAATGTGTGTGTAACTGACCGGTCTAATACACAGTCATGAATGGGTTGACATTATTTATATAACTGATACAATAATGCCATATGTGCATAACAATAAATCAATTTTTTGTGTGAATAAAAATTCAAAATGGAAAGCAAGCATATTATAAGAGGGGCCTGGAGATGTGACTAATGAACAGAAAATGTTATTTTTAGTGCTAGGAGTGTCTATATTGTTTATTCTGGACCCTATTTTGAAATTGACATCTTTTGAAATTTGTGTGAAATTGGCAGTTACCAATTTCTGACCACTTTCTTGGGTAAGTGAAATAGGTAAATGGGAGGTTTTTGTACTCAGTTGACAGAATAGAAGGAATTCTAGCAAAATAGCCAAGTTTAGTAGACTGGAACAATGGAATGGGCCAAAAAAATAGTGTGTAAAGTGGGTGAAATCGCTGACGCGTAAATATCGCCGTTGGGTTAAGTGTATTCTAACCTAACCACTCTGTATTTTGGCAAAATCACTAACCTGGAACCCTACAGGTCCCGATCTTGCCAGATTAGTGATGGTCAACCTGTACTTTGTTTTATACAGTATTTATTTATTTATTTATTTAATGTCTTTGCAAACAGTACATTGAGATTGTGTATATACAATAGTGGGATGCAAAGCAAAGAGAGCCTCTATTATGCCTTGCCATTATGGGCCAACTTAACATTATTGGCTTAAATTCTACTTAATACTGAGAAATAGTATATCATAGTTGTACAGTAGAATATTAATTATAAATGAATCAAAACTTGTATAATACAAAGATTATTATTTTTATTATTATTATCACACTGGCCGATTCCCACCAAGGCAGGGTGGCCCGAAAAAGAAAAACTTCACCATCATTCACTCCATCACTGTCTTGCCAGAAGGGTGCTTTACACTACAGTTTTTAAACTGCAACATTAACACCCCTCCTTCAGAGTGCAGGCACTGTACTTCCCATCTCCAGGACTCAAGTCCGGCCTGCCGGTTTCCCTGAACCCCTTCATAAATGTTACTTTGCTCACACTCCAACAGCACATCAAGTATTAAAAACCATTTGTCTCCATTCACTACTATCAAACACGCTCACGCATGCCTGCTGGAAGTCCAAGCCCCTCGCACACAAAACCTCCTTTACCCCCTCCCTCCAACCTTTCCTAGGCTGACCCCTACCCCGCCTTCCTTCCACTACAGACTGATAAACTCTTGAAGTCACTCTGTTTCGCTCCATTCTCTCTACATGTCCAAACCACCTCAACAACCCTTCCTCAGCCCTCTGGACAACAGTTTTGGTAATCCTGCACCTCCTCCTAACTTCCAAACTACGAATTCTCTGCATTATATTCACACCACACATTGCCCTCAGACATGACATCTCCACTGCCTCCAGCCTTCTCCTCGCTGCAACATTCATCACCCATGCTTCACACCCATATAAGAGCGTTGGTAAAACTATACTCTCGTACATTCCCCTCTTTGCCTCCAAGGACAAAGTTCTTTGTCTCCACAGACTCCTAAGTGCACCACTCGCCCTTTTCCCCTCATCAATTCTATGATTCACCTCATCTTTCATAGACCCATCCGCTGGATATACGTATTTATATTTTAAAATGCTTTTGTGAAAAACAATGATTCAGTTATGTTCCTGTCAACAATGGATAAAAGGTTCAGTGTGATTGTTTCAGTTATGATGTGGGAGTACATAGGTGAGGAAATGTATACTGCATATTTAGCATTTAGACTAGGGTGATTAAGTGGCTTTCGAAAAGTCTTAAATTGATTTTCAGACTGGGTTACTTTAATATCTTCTGGTAATGAATTCCATATTTTGGGGCCCTTTATGTGCATAGTTTTTACACTGTGTGATATGGACACGAGGTATATCAAAAAGAGATCTGTGTCTTGTGTTGTGGTCATGTGTCCTGTTTAGGTTGGTGGGGGGGTTTATATTTGCGTGTATTGTTCTGTGTATGTAGTAGGCACATGAATAAGTATGGATGTTCTTAATGGTAAGCAGATTCAGACTTTCGAAAATTGGTGGAGTATGCTGGCAGGAGTGGGAATTTATCATTCTTACTGCTGCCTTTTGCTGGGTTATTAGGGGTTTTAGGTGATTGGATGTTGTTGATCCCCCATGCACAAATTCCGTATGTAAGATAAAGGTATTCGAGTGAATGGTACAGCGCGAGGAGAGCTGATTGTGGAACGTAGTACCTTATCTTTGATAGCATGCCTACAGTCTTGGAGATTTTCTTGGGTGATTTGTTGTGTGTGTGTCCGGAACTTAAGGCTACTGTCAAGGTGGATACCTAGGAATTTTCCCTCTCTGAGTCTTGTGACTGATGATCCATTTAGCGTAATGTTAATTGGATCATTTGCAGCTTTGTTTCCAAACTGAATGAAATAGGTTTTATCAGTGTTGAAGGTAAATTTGTTAGCCATCATCCAGGCAGATATTTTCTGTAATTCAACATTGACTGTGTTTGCTAGTATGACTGCATTTGGGTAGCATTGAAAATTAGGTTGGGCAAATGTTTTGTTAGTGGGATGGATTGTAAAGGACCTGCCTAGTATGGG